GCAGAGGACAAGCGAGACCTGTACAGCAGCAGCATGCGGCTGTTTCCTGGAGGAGGAGGCTCCTTCTTGCAGCTCTCGGGCTTCGCTCTGCTCCTCATGCTAGTCGCCCTCACGAGGGACCTGCGGGAGCTGCTCCTCCTCCTGCCGCAGCTGACGCGGGGGGCTGCGAAGCTGGTGGGGATGGCAGGGGGAGGAGTGGGTGCATGCGGGATAGTCACGATCTGTTGCCTTGCGTTCCGATGCCGCAGCTTGACAAGAATATGAGGAGGAGGAGCGAATGGAGCTACGGCGCAATGCGCCGGGCCATTGCGGGGATGCCGCGACAAAGTGTTTCGAGGTTGAATAACTCTTTGCTTTATCTTTCTATCTTTTCTTCCGTTCAGAGAGTCAGTCTCAGGGCTTGCCGTCCTCTCTAGAAGAGAGAGATGGAAAGAGGAGATTGGAAGGCTCACGAAAATCAAGCATCTCAAGTATCACCGTCAGTGACCCGGATGTTGCGGCAGTGCAGGAATGGCACCTATGGCAACAGGGGGAGATTGATGGAGTCGGAGAATGGAAGCGCATCGGTCCCCTCAAACCGTTGGGAAGCCTCGGAACAGATCTAGTGGAATCTTTGCAGAACAAAAGCAGTGCATGTTGGGCATGGAGCCTGAGGGCCCGGGGAATGGCCCGCAAAGTTGAGTACGGATATTTGTATCGACCAAACTATTCATAGTGCTTACTACTTGAAGGAGAAGTACTATGGACCGAGAACCCGACTCATGCAGTGCTGCCGAGCCTGAAGAGTCAGGGCCTCGCCTTGAAACAGGGCCTGAAGAGTCCGCGCGGCGGCAGAAGGCGGTACTAAAATCTTTTTCTAGCCGGGTACAGATTCTTCATCGGAGCCACCAAACAGGTCCCTTGGAACAGTACTCGCAGCGCAAGTCTCCGAATCTTGAGTCGTTCTGGATGATGCGCTTGTACCAGACCCACAAGACTTTTCGGCCGAAAACTGTGATGCCTCCGGACTGTTTTCTGAACTCCTTACAGAAACGGAATTGCAATACACAATTTCAGGCCCATCACGCCCCATCACATATTTCGCCTCCTCGTCGTATTCCAAGCCAAACGCGATTCGTAAGCAATGCTCGCAGTCGAAATCCATTCCTTCGTCCAAGCTGCTGTAACAGGACATGAGAAGTAATCTTGTGACGTTGTTTGCCAAGTCTCCGTAACAGTGATTCGTGATGGCGTTCATCGAACGAAGCGAGAGAAGCAGAGGATGTGGAGCCCGATGTCGTTGAACCTTAGCCTCTTCGGGACTGCTCCCTTTGAACCTTATTAAGCGGAAACAAACAATCTCCTCGGTTGTAGATTCCAGTCCCTTGAATGTCTTGACCATTTTCTCTGCTCTCAACTTCTCCCTGAGAATTTCACATTCAGCAACCTTGGTTAGACTCGTACACCGTGCCGACTTGGTCGAGATTCCGGCATTCTGCAGTAGCTCTTCGAGGCTCAGTTCTTGACCGCACTGAATCGCAGCAACATCCTTGAGTAGTATCTCGATGTACTCTAGAGCCTGATGAAGTTTCTCCATGTCACCTAGAAGATGCGGCTCATTGGTACGGCCCCCGTCTACAAATACATACAGCAATACTACCTGGAAAAATGCTGGGGATCAAGTAGTCCTCCCTCATCGGCTCGCAGATCTCCTTGAGGCGAGACTTCTCTCCAACCTGTGCCTCGGAGACTTGATCGTGCCCTGACTTATTCTTTCCGATTGCTTCTGTTTCAAGTTTTTGGAAGGGCACTACTCGCATAGTTCCCGTGCAC